ACAGCAGGGTCCGCAGGGGGCGAAGGGGCCCTCCGAATGGTGCCGTCGGCGTTCCTTGGCAGCTTGCACTTACCCTTTGGGCGACCCATGTGCCCGGAGCGCGTGTGCGTCTTTCGTTGCGTGCGTAAAGGGTGTGTGTGTGTGTGTCCTCTGGTGTGTGTGTGGCGGGAAAAAATTCCCCGAGGGCATGTGAAACCACCCGAAATATCTCCGAAACCCGAGTTTTTTTTTGAAATCGGAAAAAAATCATCGGTGGGAAATCACGGGAGGAATCGATTGCAGCACTTTATTTTTGAATCGTACGGTTGGATTGTCCCCAAGAAACTAAGCAAAATACCCTCCAATATCCGTTTTTTTGCCCATAACTCCGATATTTTTTGTCAAATTGGAAATCGGAAAAAAGTCATCGGTGGCAAATCACGAGAGCTGTCCAAATCCGGTCTCAGATTTTGTGTCTGCAAAAAACACCGCCCTCCAGAAAGTAAGCAAGATTCTTGAATATCTGAACATATCGAGCGAAGGACGAAAAAAACAAAAAACTCCGTACGAAGATGCGCCTTGAAACGTCGATTTACGCGGTATTTTCAGATTTCGGAATAAGTACCCCCACCCCGAGAGAAGTGCACCTTTCTGCAGGGGAAAATATTGTGAATAATTCACGGGTGTGTTCTGTAGGGTACTCACAGACCTGTACCGGGGGTAGTTACCCTCCGTAATTACCCTACAGAATAGTTCTGTGGGTTCTGTAGCACCCTCGTACAATACAGAATGGTTCTGTGAGGTTCTTTGGCACCCTCGCACAATACAAAATAGTTCTGTGAGTTCTGTGACCCCCCCGGTACCCTACAGAATAGTTCTGTGATTTCTGTGACACCGCCGGTACCCTACAGAATAGTTCTGTGATTTCTGTGACACCGCCGGTACCCTACAGAATAGTTCTGTGATTTCTGTGACACCGCCGGTACCCTACAGAATAGTTCTGTGATTTCTGTGACACCGCCGGTACCCTACAGAATAGTTCTGTGATTTCTGTGACACCGCCGGTACCCTACAGAATAGTTCTGTAGCACCCTCGCACAATACAGAGTAGTTCTGTGAGGTTCTGTATCAGTCTCGTACAAAACAGAATAGTTCTGTGAGGTTCTGTGGCACCCTCGCACAATACAGAATAGTTCTGTGAGGTTCTGTAGCACCCTCGCACAATACAGAATAGTTCTGTGACGGTCAGTCACAATACAGAACAGTTCTGTGAGGTTCTGTAAAATGCCCCCGCGTGACGTCAGGTCCGCGGACAAAGCGGGAAGTTGTACACAGACAGACCCAGACAGCAGCCACACACACAATACACAACATACACCAGACCCACAGAAGATCGTTTGTGCGAACCTCGAGAGGGAACATGAGCGCTGTTGTTGCGGACCTCGACAACTCCTCCACGCCGCACGACACAAACACAAACACGAATGCCGGGGCGGGTGAAGGTGGCGGGGTTGAGACAAACGAAGGCACACCCGAGAGCAATGAGCAGCATGGCTCGAACGTGGTAGACGTTGCCGGAACCAGCGCTGGAGGCGTGCCCGTACTCAGCCCGAAACCAGTCTACGGCAAGGGCGGAGTGGTAGCGGAGGTGGCTGACGATATCGCTGCCGCGGTGGATACTTTCACCGTGCCGACCGGTTTCGTGAGAAAGGGCTCCCGCGTCGACTCGTTCATGTACTCGCTCGGAGTGTACGTGGAGCAGAGCGCGGCGCCAAACACAAGTACTACTGCCTGGCTAGCGCAGAGTGTCGGAGGGGTAGGAAGGAGATTCCGTGTCCACCGGGAGACCGCAGCAACGTCATCACGCACCTCAAGAGAAAGCACGGGGACCGAAGGAGCGAAGAAGGACGCCACCAGGAAGGAGGGGCAAGGAACCATCAGGTCGGCGTTGGTCGCGAGCGCCAACTCGAGCCTCGGAAAGAACAGGTGGGTGTTTTTTTTTTCTTTTTCACAGGTGGAACTAGTCTTCGTGTGTTTGTGTGTGATTGTGTTGTGTGCATGAGGGGGTTGAGCACCTGCTGGGTGCTATATACATGTACTGCTGTTGCCTGCGCGTCTTTTTTGTCTTTTTGGTTACTCACGTCCTTCTCGTGTCCCCTACCTCCTGCGTTTGTTGCGTGATGCTGCTGCGATTTTTTCTTTTTTTTTGGTCCTTGTTTTTCAGCGTTCGCGAGCTCTTGTGCGCGAAAATGGTCGTCGACAAGTTCCTCCTCTTCTCCTTCTTCTCTGTCTGGGGACTCGTGGAAGGATGTGCTGACCTTCTTGGTGACGACGAACATCTCCACCAGGAGGTGCTTGATGCGCCTGCTAGGAAGCGCCGGATATGGGGTGTCATCGGCGGTCCCCTGCCATCGACACCGAGGTGGACCAGAAACTGAACGATTGCTGGGCGGACATCAAAGCGAGGGCGTCGGAGGCTGCGCGGAAGAAACACTCGGCACGTGCGACCGCAGAGGGCGGCCAACCACCTCTGAAGCGCCTCTCCACGCCGGCCACGAAAGCCAGGCCTAGGTTTGCTTCCTGGCACGAAACAGGGTCCGCGGCGATACTAAAGACGTGGGCGAGGGCGACAGCGAGGACAAGGTGCTCATGCAGCAGGTCAGCCAAGAACTCGAGCGCTTTCAGGCGCTGTACATGACGGCAGGAGAGGTGAGCTTCCTTGCAGTTTATATGAAACTGTTTTTAATAATTTTAATTTTGAGCTTCAAGCGGGAGGGAGGGCCGGAAGGATCTGAGTTCACGGCGGTCACAGGTCAAAGTAGGGATGCGAACTGCAAGAAGTTTCAGTTTGACTTTTTTTTCCGGTGGCGCAAAGTTGCACAGATGTGTTTCGTGTCGTTTTCTTATCTTCGTCCTTGCCACCCTTGGATCTGTACTGCTGCTGTGCTGTTGGACACGCGGGAAGTACTGCCTTGGTGGCGAAACACTGGTCGCAAGATGTTTCCGTACCTGGCTCCAGTAGCGCAGCAGGTGCTTGGAAACCAGGCGGGTGCCGCGCAGGTAGAGCGCGACTTCAGTAGTTGCGCTAATCTCCTCACGCGCAACAGGAGCCGCATCGACACCTACTGGGTAGAGATGGTGATGTTCCTCCACGTCAACTACAAGTGTATCCCCGCGTTCAAGGACATTCCCATGATTGCCGCCAAGGATATCAGGACATGTCTGCCGCCACGGTTCAACGGGGGGGATGCTGACCTGGCGGCCGCTGAGGCTGCCTTCGACGTGATTGAGAACACCAACAACTCGGACATCGGCGTGTGAAAGTCGCGAGCGTTTCATAAGTAGCCTCTTTCTTTGACTCCGTAAGAAGGACGTAGCAGTCAAAGTAGGTTGAGTCGGAGTCGCATGGGAAGGCTAAGGCTTCTGCTCTTGGGTGTTGTGTTACCGAACTTCAGTTTCGCGGTCGTAAACTAAGTACTGCGCGGCTACGGCAGTTGATTTGATTTGAACGATAGGCTAATTTCAGTGCTGGGTACGATTTCTATTTTGTTCAATGCTATAGCGCCCTTGCCTCTCTTCCTGTACCTTCGTCGTAAACACGCACGTCGTCAAACTCGTCATGTTCTGTAGGGTAATTCACGGGTACCGCGTAAGTACCGGGGGCTCTTCTGTAGACACAGAGTTCTGTAACACCCCCTGTACCCTACAGAATATCTCTGTGCCGCCCCCTGTATCCTACAGAATAGTTCTGTAACACCCTCGCACAATACAGAATAGTTCTGTAGCACCCTCGCACAATACAGAATAGTTCTGTGGGTTCTGTAGCACCCTCGTACAATACAGAATAGTTCTGTGGGTTCTGTAGCACCCTCGTACAACACAGAATAGTTCTGTGAGGTTCTGTAGCACCCTCGCACAATACAGAATAGTTCTGTGAGTTCTGTGACACCCCCGGTACCCTACAGAGAGTACTTGTACCCTACAGAACACACCCGTGGAATATTTGCCCGAATAGACCATACGATTTCCTAGACAGCCTATAGGGACAACTCCCCTGTGGGTGACAGGCTCAGAAAATCAGTTTGGTAGCTGTCTTGTGTGTCTCATATATGTTACGTTGTGTAATTTCATGTCGTTAAATGTGCGAAGGGCACGGGAGAACATTTTCTCATCATTGCCTCCTGATGACGTGGTCGCCGATAGAGGCGTGTGGTTGATGAGGTTCCATCACCGACATGTGGGTGTGTGTTAAATGCAATGGGTATGTTCACCTCTCTCGTCCATATGTAGGCAGGAGGTATGGCTATCTCTCCCATTTGTGGGCAGCGCGGACCATAAGTAAAGACAGAGTTGTTTATCAGTTCATGCATGCTACATCATTTGTGTTTGACAAGGGAGGAATGAGAGGTTGCGCGTGTGGGGTACTCCCTGCGTCCGTGTTGTTCCCAGATGTTGTCGCGTCAAGTGGCAGCATGTGTCATGGACAGGTAGACGTGGAAGGACGGCGACAGGTGAACGGCAGCAGTAGTATGTTGTGCATGGTGGCATGTTGGGTTTGTACAGAGACGCAGTCCATCTTAAACCACACACAGAGGGGTTTGTTCGTACCTGTAGGGATTTTTCGAAGTCCTNCGTCCGTGTTGTTCCCAGATGTTGTCGCGTCAAGTGGCAGCATGTGTCATGGACAGGTAGACGTGGAAGGACGGCGACAGGTGAACGGCAGCAGTAGTATGTTGTGCATGGTGGCATGTTGGGTTTGTACAGAGACGCAGTCCATCTTAAACCACACACAGAGGGGTTTGTTCGTACCTGTAGGGATTTTTCGAAGTCCTGGGTCAGCCAAGAGCAGCAGCAAGGAGCAGACGCAGTGCAGTATACTCTGAAGCTTTACAGTCCGTCCTCCTCAAGTCCTATCGGAGATGATTTGTATCGCACAACGGCTGGATCCGAAAGGCCGGCTAGCTCCGCCATTCAAGAGAGGTGGGTGGCTGACCTAAAACCAGAATGACTGCATGCGTGCTCCTCTCAGCAGATGTCGCTGGCTGGATTATTTTTTGAGTCGTGGAGCCCCACGACTTCATCACGTCACCCCGGCTTACCCCAAGCCAAATTTTGCCCGTGTTCCTCATGCATACACCACACACAGACGTAAACCTAGGCAGGCTGTCACACCTCATCTCGCTACCCCTGGTCCCCTTCACGAAAACCCGGAAGGGAGGGCGGGATGGTTTTCCGGCCAATCACCTAGCGGAAGCCCACCCCTGACCTTTACCTTACACGTGATGACCTCTACGCCAGATCGCCCCTTCGTCTCACAGGAGCAGCTGCAGTGTGCACTCTTCTTGTTGCTCCTTGCTGCTGCTGCTGAAGATGTACTCCAATACGTCATCGCCACCGTGCTCATGCAATCTCCCGATGAAACTTCCCCTCATTTTCTTGCCTACCTTGCCACTGCTGTACGATTCAATCCCGCGCCACAAACCCCAGATTTCCTTCGTTCAATCTTACACTTTAATTTGCTCATGAATCTGGAGCTATTATTATTATTCAGTCGTGGACCCCCGACTTCATCACGTCGCCCGGGCTTACCCCACGTCAAATATTGCCCGGGTTCCTTATACATACACCACACACAGACGTAAACCCAACCAGGCTATCACACCTCATCTCGCTACCCCACAACGTGCCTTTCCCTCCCTTCTCGGGGGGCCGTTCACACCGCCACTACCGTTACCAAGAGGCCGCATTGTCTCGCCGCGTACAAGAAAACCATAGGTTTCTCCCAGAGATGGAGCAACCAAAATCAGTGTGCCCCCTTTACGTGATAGCGTCAAATCTTAATCCAAATCGACATATATATGAAGCCAGGGAATCGGAACACAAGAGGGAACATCGCTTGTTCTCTTGTTAAGATGTACAGCATGTCCACTATGCTACAAGTCAGCGCTGACTTGTAGCAAAGTGGATATGCTGTACATGTTAACAACTTCAGCCTTTGCCTGATCCTTGTGTTCGCACACACACCTTCCTTCAAGATGGGGCGCATGCACAGCGGTGGGAAGGGTATCTCCAAGTCTTCTCTCCTCTGCAAGAGGAGCCCGCCCTCGTGGCTCAAGATCTCCGCCCAGGAGGTTACTGAGCACGTGTGCAAGCTGGCCAAGAAGCGTCTCACTCCTTCTCAGATCGGTGTGATCCTGCGTGACTCCAAAGGTATCGCTCAGGTCCGCGCCATCACCGGCTCCAAGATCCTCCGCGTGCTTAAGGCCAATGGCCTTGCCGCCGAGATCCCCGAGGACCTTTACATGGTCATCAAGTAGGCAGTGGCGGTGCGCAAGCACCTGGAGCGCGCCCGGTCCGACAAGGACTCCAAGTTCCGCCTTATCCTCATCGAGTCTCGCATCCACCGCCAGGCAAGGTACTACAGGACGAACCGCAAGCTGCCAGCCAACTGGAAGTACGAGTCCTCGAGCGCCAGCGCTCTGGTCGCTTAGGACAAGGGCCGTGCCCGATGATAGTTGACCGCAACTCGGTCGTAGAAGCAGGCCGAAGCTCTCGTCGGAGATGATGCATGAGAACAGGCGATGTTCCCTCATGTGTTCCGATTCCCTGGCTTCAGATGTTGTTGACTTGGATTAAGATTTGACGCTAACCGTCATTGGGGCACACCGATTTCGGTTGCTCCATCTCTGGGAAAAACCGATGGTTTTCTTGTGCGTGTGCGAGACAATGCGGCCTCGTGGTAACGGTAGTGGCGGTGCGAACGGCTCCCCAAGAAGGGAGGGAAAGGCGAAGCAAAAAATGAGAGAAAACTTCTTCTGTCACATAAGTAAAGTCCGTTATGGGGGAATTTACATACCTCACCAGCCAAGGAGTTCCTGAAGCTCTAGTTAGGTTTGTTGGAAAGCGCTTGTTACGCACATAACTTAAAAAAAAAAAACCCGACTCACAATTACTGAGAATTAGTGTGTCAAATACGGGACTATTTTGCGAATATTTTGGGAATATTTTGAAAACATTTTGAGAATATTTTAAAGAATATTTGCAGCTTTGTGCTGTGTGAGCACCCACCACCACCACAACGACGTAGCTATCATGGGGGACGACGCCCAGACACCCCCACGTCGTAAGCGGGGTGCGGAAGTATCGTTGGGTCGTCGGTACGCCATGGCGGTGGAGATAGCGTTGGCGATTCCGCCGGGCAAAGAAAGGGTACCCAAGGGCTTTCTAGGCCCCCTCGCCGAGCGGTACGGCGTTGGTATTATAGTGATTACCCCAGAAAACATTGGGAGGAATGCAAAGCGCAGATCGATGAAACCGGAGAGCTCGACCTTTCAAACAAACGTCGGAGTGGGCGGCCATCGCTCCTCACTCCGACGAAGGCCGCGGCGTTGCGCAAGGTCAACAAGGAGAATCGGTCATTCACGCTGAGGCAAGTGTCTTGGTTTTAGTGTGGGCCTCGAAAATGTCTTGATTTTAGTGTGGGTTCACTACTATGTTGGTTTTTGTATGGGAGGACGCGAAATGGATCGTTCAGTAGAGGTAACCTTGGGTTTAGGGTTCGGGATAATTCTTGTCTTGTTTTGGTATGTTTCGTTTCGTGCCCCCACCCCCACCCTCATGGAAAGGGGCAAAATACGGCCTTTCTTTTTTGGCCTGACCACTTTTTTGTAAGCCGCTAGTGCATGCAGGGTAGTGCGCAAGAAAAAAAAAGAAATATGGGTTTCAACCCGAAAAACGGTCAAGATTTCAAAAAAAGTATCGCCTAAGACATCGGACACGGCTAAATGGCCGTGTAATCATAACGGACTTTACTTATGTGACAGAGGAAGTATATATATTTTTCTGATGCACAGCATCTTATATATCCACCATGCTACAAGTCAGCGCATATCCACTATGCTACAAGTCAGCCGCTGACTTGCAGCATAGTGGATATGCTGAACATCCTAACATAAGTACAACCGGCGTTCGAATCCCTCGTGGACCACATGTGACGCCTTTGTTCCGGAAAAGTCTGGGATACGCCTGAAAGACGGTATACATTCCAGTCGTCCAGGTGAAGACACATCTTCCCGCCTGTAAGTTGATGAACCGCATGGGGCAGCGCTGATTACAGGGATTACAGCTCTGGGCTTTACAGAGGTCCAACAGCTCTAACAGGCTGAAGGACCCCGGTTGTACTTTTGTGAAGATGCACAGCATACCCACTATGCTACAAGTCATAGCGCTAACTTGTAGCATAGTGGATATGCTCGCTGACTCGTAGCCTAGTGGATATGCTGTGCATCTCAACACGCTCGCACATCAATTATCCCATCGTTTACAATGCGACAAATGAACGGCACGCGAGCGTCCCGTTACTTTTAGTTGAGATTTGCATGCAATGTATAAATATGTGGTGTTGATGTTTTATTTGCGTAGACGTCGAGGGATCGTACAGAGTCGAGGGTGCTGTCGAAAATGGAGCTTGGCCTTATTATGTTGGCTTGCTTGGTCCCTGTTGATTCCTCCATCTAGTTTGGGGTCAGCTTCCCTGAATTACTTCTGCTGCCTCGTGTTATCGACACGGCAGTACGTGGAACGACCTCGAAGCAACGGAATCAACAACCCTGTTGTTTCGTGTCTGTGAGCAATGCTGCCCTTCCGCTCTTCCGCCCGCCCCGCCTTGGTCAGGTACATCGCGAAGCTCTGGGAATGGGCGAGAAGATATGTGGGCCAAGGCACGTGACTAACAAGACTTTGGTTTCAAGCAGACCGGGGACGCCGACAACAGGTCATGTTGGGCAAAACACAACAAGTTCGCTTGACGGCCCGTGCACACATGATGGAGATGAACTGGGCGACGTTTTCTTGAAAGCTGCCTCGAAGGGTCAACCACAGTCAGAATCGCGTGCCATAGCGGGCGGGTGTTGTCGAATTGATTTCGTGGCCCACAGCAAGCGTTTGATTGCAACGGATGGTACTTGTTTTTGTTTGTGTGCACTGCCGCCCTCAGCGGTCTGGGGTGTTGAGACTGGGTACTATGTTATCCCAGGAACAGCAGATGAAGAAAAGGACCATATATATTTTTCGTCACGCAAGCCCCTCAGGCAAGCTGGTAACCAACACGCAAGCCTCTCAGGCGAGTGCCGGGAGCATACCGGGGTGTGATCACCCGGGGGGACCGCACTTGGACCCCAACCGCAAACATACCCATCACACCAATGCTTCCCATACGCGTATCCCCCACAGAGGATGCACAGATAGATCGGACTCATGTCCAAGTACGACAAACAGCCCCCCTACTTGATACGATGTGCGTTTGTTATAGGCTCAAGAATTCTGGCATTATTTTTCTAATCTTCTACGAGAAAAAATGATGAAGACCCGAGACAACCTAGATCACATGTAGACGNAATGCTTCCCATACGCGTATCCCCCACAGAGGATGCACAGATAGATCGGACTCATGTCCAAGTACGACAAACAGCCCCCCTACTTGATACGATGTGCGTTTGTTATAGGCTCAAGAATTCTGGCATTATTTTTCTAATCTTCTACGAGAAAAAATG